AAAACGGGAACTTTTAAACGCAGGGTAAAGCTTCTTAAAAACTTGCGACGCGAACGATTGACAATCGCGCGAGCTTCTTCGTCCGAAGTATGGCTAATGTATCCGTGAAGGTGAAGCTATCACAATTTGCGTCTTACAGTAGTATGACGGGTATTTTTTCCTCTGGTTTTCGAGAAAAACTCTACATACCTTTTCATTCCCTCAAAAATGAACAGTGAAAATCCCATCCAGAAATATTCATGCTTTCAGCGAACAATTCGTGGGTCGCGATTCAAAAACTTTTGTTGTACGGAATGGACGATCATTCTGGGATGGAATTGTCTGAATTGATAACCTTTTGAATTTAGAGTGATGGGCTACGATTTTTCTGACGGATAACAGGCGTTTCATCAGTTTTCTGTTCTGTGTTAATTTTGATTTGATAGCACGGTTTATGCTGTCCTTCAATTTTCATCAAGTGATATCCAAAAGAAATCTGGAGAAGAACTACTCGAATTTAACGACTCGATGATTTATTTCAGAAATTTGAATTTAAAACGTTTACAATTTTAAAAAGTTATGTTGCAAGTGTATGAATCAACGCAAAAAATCCTCTGAAAAGTTTTTCGTGTTCTTGAGTGAACTATATTATACCGGAAGACTTCCAGTCCCTTTTTTTCAGCATTCATACTGTATATCCTTCATGAGTGACTCCTCCAGTCCCGACATTCATTTCGGCGGTAATTGAAATTGCGCATACGAAAATAATATGATGGTCACTTCACTAACTCACGGATACATTAAATTCATGTACAGTATTTGTCGTTGCCCATTTTCAGTCAAAGTTTTGTCATGATGACGCCAAGATGTATCTCTAGCTGTTCTTCAACTTTATCATGCGAGGATCTTCTTTAATGACCATTTTTATCACCAAGAAGTTTTTTAAAATAAATAATTAATAATAAATAAATAATCTTTTAGCACGTCGCATCAAATTTGTTTGCGTACTGTATTGCATTTCGTAATTCTCTCAAAAAGACAAGCAGAAAGAATGTGAGAAGTCAACGTCCGTTTGCCCTCTAGTCACTTACCGGCCTTGGAACCAAAAGCCTTTTTGCAGGAAGAAAATGACAGTGGGCCATCAAGTGAAGTTGTTTTTGTGCGTTCATCTTATGTTTGATTAAATTTCCCAATTCTAGTCAAAGGACAGAAAAATAATTGCTGGTTTGCGCAAAATTTCTTCTAGAATTCTGACGATTGAATGGAGTTACAGTAGTTGGAAATATCAAAAATCACCAATTATTGCGTGGAGGTGTTTTTCAAGATCTAGGGATAGACCCAACTTTTGGGTTTCAAAGTCAGCGGGAAATTACCTTTTGATCTTGAACAAAGTTCTCATGAATTTGTGACTTAATTTTGTCCAAGTTCATCAAGGAAAAAAAACGTGAAATATTTTATGTACAGGACATGGCGCTTGTAATGGCTCAGATCCAGTTTGAAGCTATTAGGGACAGATGTCACCTCAATATAAATTAGTGTCAAGCTGGATCAAAGAGTAAATAAGTGTAAATAAAAGACCATAGTGAGCCCAGGACAGGGGCCAGAATTCCTTTTTAGAATTCCTGGGTTAAGAGTAAGGTATATTTCACAAGGAATAATCAACTACTCAGCAAACTCTTGCTTCAACTGAATAATTAGAATAATTCTGATGATGATATTCTTCTCTGCACTTTACCAGCTTAACTATTGATATTTAACCTTTGCAAGGTTTTATGAACCCTTCATAAGGTTTCTCATTCGATTTTAAGCTAGTGGATAAAACTCTAGACTAGAGTCTATAGGATATCAAGAGAAATACATTAGTGATGGCGCGGTTGCCTGACAGAAGCGAAGAATACGCTGTAGTTTACGCAGTCTTCCTGGATTTCCAACTTGTAATTAATAAATGTATTTTCCTTCTCTGTCTGTGTCGTGTCCTTGCCTCAGGAATCTGTCGTACGGCCGGCAGAACGACGAGAACAAGAAGTGCATAATGGCAGCTGGCGGCGTGGGGATGTTGGTGCGCCTGCTGCTGAAGACGCCCGACAACGAGGTGCGCGAGCTGGTGGCTGGCACCCTGTGGAACCTGTCGTCGTGCGAGGAACTCAAGCGACCCATCATTGACGACGCCCTGGCCGTGCTCGTCAACCAAATCGTGATCCCGTGTTCCGGCTGGGACGCCCGCGGTACCGGCCCGGCCGCCCCGTCCTTTCCCGATCTCTACCTCTCAACTGTGTTCCGCAACGCGACCGGCGTTCTCCGGTTCGTATGCCATTTTTTAGTACAGTACTGTGTACTGATGAACCTTGATCAAACGAACCTCGGGAGATATTGGAATTTTTATTTTTAAACGCACATCATGCGCTTTTAAGCTTAGATTTACACTTGCCGGGGCTTTCATGTCCTTTTTCACGTCGATTTCTTAACCTTTTTTGCCTTTCTTTCTTCGCCATCCTTTCATCAAATACTGTGTCTCCACGAAAAAGGACTGATCTGTTCCTGAAGGCAAAATGAGGGGTTTTAACAATGAAAAACGCAATTTCCCCTCTAGGTTTCATTGCAAAAAAATTTTCGGAAGTCGAATACCTCCCTGTTTCGAGTTTTTATTTTCCAAGCCCAAAAAATATTACTGGGAAATTTCTTTTATTATTCATAAAAGTTCGTTGAAGAATTTTATCCTCCTTTTTCAAAGACAAATCGTTCTAGCGTGAGTAAATGTCACGAAGAGTCAGAAGTGCATTTTAATTGCACGATGAGTAATTTCCTTCTGCGTTTTTTTTTTTAAATTTCTTGATGTACAGTTGAACCTCGATAAATCGAATACTGTACCTCCCCATGTCGACTTTTTTTCTTTCTTGAAGCTCCTGTCTGAATTCCCTTAGAAACGATGCATTAAAAACCCCTCCAAATTTAAAGGCTTCCCCCTAAAACCTCTATAACTCGAATTTCCTGGAAGCGATTTGGCTATTAATAAAGAGGAAAGCCATTAAAATGTAACTTGATGAAAGGAAGTGAACGAGTAATGGGCCAAATGAACCCTTTCCTCCGAGTTCATTATCCTGTCAACTCATTCAAAAAGCAATTTAAGGCCCGGAATATCACCAATTACAATTTCGTGGTACTTCTCTTTCTTTCCTTGACCAAAATGCTTGTTTCTGTGACTCGGTTCGACCGTATTGTTACGTGTGTTTTCTGTCACTTCTTATTTATTAATGTGGTGTGAAGATTTTGAACAAACAAATGCTGATGCTTTGGCACCCGTCAAGTGGTTCGCAAGGTTTCTGATGCGTGGGTACTGGGTAGGTATAGGTATAGGCGTTTCATCAAGTTGTGGAATGGTTCAAGAACTGGGTGGAAGCGGATCAGTTGATCCCCACTTGACGAGGGACTCGTAAAACGAAATTGTTTCACAGAGTGGGATATTTTGATTAAAATAATGCTTTGATTGAGCAAGTTTCGAGATGAATGGCATTGAAAAAATCGACGCACAAAAAAAGAGAAGATTATATATTTCGTTGCTTCTTGCCTTAAACATGGATTGAATTCGTACTATCAAGGGCCCAAACTTGTCAGAATTTACTTCAATTTCAAACTAATCAATTTTCAGTCCTCAATTCGCCTGAAGACTAGGAAAGTTGCACAATGTTCAACGTTTTATCTGATCTTCTGGCAAGTATCTGAAACAAATTAATAATTTGCAATGAAACCTAAAGGGAAATTATAAAAATTCCCCATTTCAATTCGCACCCAGGAGCAGATTAGTCCTCTTTCGTGGGAACACAGTGTACTGTATTACAAAAATATTGCAAAGAAAGCAAATCAAAAATTTTATAAATTGACACGACAAAGGACACAAAAATCCCAGCAAGTGGAAATCTAAGCTTAGAGCGCATGCTTTGTGTTTAAAATTTCAAGTACGAAGTAGTTTGTCCATTTGTTGAGTTTAATCCCAGGTAAATGCTGAAGATATGCAACGAGAGCACTGCTGTTTCTTGAACGTGTTATCCAGAAAAGAAAAAGAAAAAAAAACTACCAAAAAGCCATGCATTAGTCCAAAAATGTTCGTGCTGGTGGTACTTGCCAGTTGGTTTTTCTGCATTTTGCGTGAGGAGGAGAAAAAAAAATCAAAGGCTTCGAATGTTCAACTTGACTCGTATGTTCGTTGCTCAAGTTGAAACAGAGTGAAGTACTGTACAGATTAAGTGGATGAGTTTTCGCGTGTCTTGTATGAAGTACAGTATTAATTTGATGTGCCCTGGACACAAGTTGAGGACATGGTAAACGATGTTGTTGAAGAGGGGAAAGCCTCTTCACAGGTGCTCCTTGCCCGGATGTTACATCGAACTGGCTGTTGGTGAACACTAACGTGTCTCATAAATCAACAAAAAGGTCGCAAATCCCCTTTCGTTTTCCAAGAAAGTTCCGTTCTAAGGATCTGAATTTTATCAGAAGTTTATCGGTCGACGATCGCGTAAATACCTGGCGAAGTGGTTTTTTTTAGTACAATACTGTACTGTATTTTTATTTATCGTGAATTTTGGGACTCCGAGTACAGTACTTTAGAGGCGATCTGAAAATCCCCTTTCACCGGAAACCTTTTTTTTTTTCAAATTCCCGACTTCAAATTATGAACCCTTAAATTGTGGAGAAGCAGGGTATCCTCTATGACTAAACGCGACTTTAAACGTTCGTCGCATCTTTTCGTATTTTAAATAAACTTCCTCACTAGAAACTTTCTTTCTGTTCAAGATGCGTGATGAGAGTTGATCACCGAAATCCTTCGCATGGTCTTCGTGCATAAAATGCCGTACAATACATTATTTATAATTTCAAATGTGATTTCTGTCAATTTTCCCGGAAATGATGGACGAACCCAAAGGCAACTATGTTTTTTTTGCGTTTCATTAACAAGTACGGTGCAATAATCATTTTATAATATGGCAATGCTTATACTGTACTCGCTTCAATGAATGAGCTTTTTTCCCTTTTTTTACGGATGAGAGCATCGGTGAAATTTACGGAAAATTATTGAAGTTCTTCTTAGGACCTCTTGTAGATTTCCGCAATTGTGAACCTTCTGGATTTTATTGATTTCGCGGAATATTTTTTGTTGTTGACATTTCTTGATCTGCTAAGGTCAGGTATTGATCGCTTCGGTTAGCATCATTCTCTGGATCTGGAAAGTGCGACGTGAAAGCAGTAAGCATTCCCTGTTGAGCTGGTGTCTCTCATCTCATAGAAAATTGAGTTTTGCATTCGGAAACGTTTTAGCTATCATCGTTTAATGCAACTTCATTCAAAACGTCCAATACCGGATTATTTTTCCTGGTGTCAAGGCAAGCGAAAACTTGATCGCGTGAAAACGTTTTCCGCCCTCGTGGGTTGACTTTAAAGTTTAGATTAGCTGGGTTGTTAGAATGAAATGATAAAGCTCAACAACAACACAACAATAAGGAAAGCACATTTCTTTGTTGTTTTGCAGAAATGTGAGCTCTGCCGGGGAGTATGCCAGAAAGAAGCTCCGTGAGTGCGACGGGCTGATCGACTCCTTGCTATACATTGTTAAAAGCGCAATCGGGAAGGCGAACATTGACAACAAGAGCGTGGAGAATTGCGTTTGTGTGCTCCGGAACTTGTCGTATCGGTGCCAGGAAGTGGAAGATCCGAATTACGACAAGGTTCCTCCACCGGCAACATCCACATCCAGCGGGCCGACACGAGCCAACGCTAGTAAAGGTTTGTTTATTTATTTCATTGCACGCCTGCTGTATCTCTTTTAAAGCTGTTCACTGATGTACAGTAATTTTTTTATATTTCTTGGGTGCCTCATGTTGTTTGGTTGCCCGCATTAGCAGCATGCTTAAAAAAAAAACAATTATATTTTCTATTTCTCAACTTCACTGAAAATGTTCCCTAAATGGCCGCATCTGAGTAAATTCGCTGCGATAATTTATTGAAGCTGTAATTTGTTTATTGCCATCCAGAGAAAGACTGATGTTTTGCCATCGATGATTTCCGATCTTGCTCTCTGAAATGTCGTACTCATGTCGCTTGAATCATTAGATGAAAAGAAAAAACCCGAAAGAACCTCAACCGGCGTAAATTAGATTGGAGGAATCTTGATTCACAACAAACAAATGTACTGTATTGTAAACTGAGCTGACAAAACACAGAGCAAGTGAAATATACTGTACTGTACCGTATTCACTCAAGTGCCCTACGTACCTTTCCTTCAAAATTCAGAGGAAAAAAGTGCGCGTCAGAGGTGGGTACACGTTTTTCGAAAAGTTTCAGAAGTTTAGTCGTGCATTATGCTTGATTCTAATGGAAACTCTTGGACCAATTTTGTCAGACGTTTTTGCAGTATTTCTGCGGTAACTAGTTAAAATTAGTTAAATCCGGGTTCAACTCATGTTCAAATTTAAATTTGGTGCTTTTTTTTAAATATTGCAGTATTAGTCACTAAAATGGCGTGTGTATCTTACATGGAGATACAATTTAATCGAAATTTTAGACTGAAAAACCTAGGTGCGTGTCCTACTTCAGGGTGCGTGATACTCCAGTAAATACTGAACTAAACTCGGGCGACACCTATGAAATATCAAATTAAGCTTCGGAGTTGCTGTCACCTGCCATTGGACTCGAGAAAACTATAAAGTATCTTCTGCTATCTACACTATCTGCAGCACAGTACAATACTCTGAATCCGTTCACCGGCATACAGTAAAGTAAATATTACCTTAATGCTGACTGTTGAAAAATTTGTGGACTTCTAAAAAGTTTTCGTCTCTAAATCTTCGAATGGCAAGAAATAACCTTGAGTAATACGACATTACTCAGTCTAAACGAACCTCATGCCAAATGGAATGAAATGGAATCAATCAGATCCGAACTGCACCCACGTGAGGAGAGAATGTCAGAGAAGAGAATCGCGTGTTTGAGGTGTGGGAAAGGTGGCGGTCACCAACTGAATCGGGAACAAGATACAGTAAAAACTGTTTTATTTACTTTATCTCTTACTCCCGAGTCTTAATTCGAGTCGAAATCCCTTGTTCTTTCTCCCGGATCATATGCAGCGACGGACGAGAGTGCCGGTTGTTTTGGTGGCAACAAGAAGAAGAAGGATGGGTTCGGGGGCACGATGCAGCGGGACGCGAGTGGCCCGATCCAGCGGCAGCGGAACGAGAACGTGCGCGGCATGGAGCTCCTGTGGCAGCCGGAAGTGGTGCAGCCGTACCTGAGCCTGCTATCTGACTGTTCGAACGCGGAGACGTTGGAGGCGTCGGCGGGTGCGATCCAGAACCTGTCGGCCTGCTACTGGCAACCCAGTCTGGACGTCCGGGCAGCTGTCAGAAAGGAGAAGGGCTTGCCGATTCTCGTCGAGCTATTGCGGATGGAGGTGGACCGGGTCGTGTGTGCAGTGGCCACTGCCCTGAGGAATCTCGCGATTGATGAGAGAAATAAGGAGCTTATTGGTGGGTTTTGGCCTTTTTTTCTTTTTTCTCTTCTTCTTGTTGCTGTCTTTTCTTTTTCTTCTCTCTTTGTTTTATGTTGACGGGTAGCATCATTCCCTGGATCTGGAAATTACGTCTTCATAAATAAAATTCCGTGCAGCGCATTATAATTTTAAATGGATTTTCTGTCAATTTTCTTGGAAAGAAGTGACGAACCCAAGTGCTACCATGTTTTACAACCGTTAACCCCCGATAAGACGCCACCATTTGTCCAGAGCAATTTTGGCGGGTTAAAGAGGTTGGCGGTTTATCGAATTTTTAATTTTCATTATTTGATCAAAAATACAGCACTCGATTTTCCTCCAAAAGTCATGGAGATGCAGGTTATGTATAGAAGCTTCAGTAATTTTCCAAAGAGTATTGTACTCTTTCAGAACATAAATTTTGCTGCATCAATTCATTCAAATTTTAAGATTAGGTCAATATATTTTTCAAATTTTCAACATCATTTTTCTTCTTCTTATAAATACAAGATCCTTGACAGAAATTATAATTCTACCCCAATGTTGGCATTGTAACAAAGACAAAACTAATTGGAAACAGCACTTTTGTTTCATCAATAATGCTGGCGGTTGGTGCCTTATCAAGGTTTTCTATAGATTTTAACATAGAGGAGATTTGTTTCATTCAAAATTTTGGCGGTTGCCGAGGGTGGCGCTTTATCGGGGGGCGTCTTAACGGGGTTTGACTGTATTATCAAGTACAGCAAGATGATTTGGTGACTAATGGACGCACTTCAATAACGTTTCCGCCAGCGTCGCTTGACTATAAGCTTTAGATTAGCTGAATATCTCGCGTGGAATGATGAATTTAAACCACAAGAACGCATTCCGAGTTCTGCGGAGTCGTGAAAACCCCTTTTTCTGCGAAGCTGTTAAAAAATAGTAATAGTGCTTTTATTACTGGTCTGTTTAATCAACAGTATCTAGGTCATGTTCCCAAGAAGTAGACTGCGTCATTTTTGTGATCAGATTTTTTTCAATTCGAGATCTCTTGCAGAAACTTGAATTTTTTTGGCGGGCTTTCGAAGACAAAAGCTCATTGGCAGGAGCATGTTTGAGTTGTTTATAATTTTGGTGGACGGGGTTTTACTGGGGTTTCCAATGTTTTCATCATTGAGGAAGGTTTGTTTTTCAAAATAAATCGGCATTTGCTGAGGGTGGCGGCTTTTCTTTTTAATAATGTCTTAATGAAGTTTGACTGTTCGAAACAATTGTAAATTATCATGTTTTAATTTTTTTAACCTGAGTAGAGCTCCAATTATTTATAGAGAAGACGTCGTAAAGCCAACAAAGGCCGTGCGCAAATGTAAATTGTATAAAGTAGCATTACTGTAAGAGATGGGACAAGAAAAATGGCACATATTGAAAGTCGTACTTCTGTCCACACTCTTGGTTTCATTCGTCGGGATTGTATGTAATGTTCGTTAATTACGGTTTTTAAAAAATTTCAAACCTCATCATGCTTTATTGAATGTTGGACAAATGTCGCCCAAAGGGAACATTATTTTGTCTACGTGGACCTTACCTAACTCGCATTTTTTGACGTAACCTAATTGAGATTCAGACTGAGCAGAATGTTTAAAAATATTGATACGGCTGTACGATAGGAAAGAAAATTACTGAGCTAAGGTCAGCAGGCGTCGTGAGGGGAAAAAGAATGAAAGTAACATGAAATGCCTGAGAATTGCTATGGCATTTTAAAATTTCACGTAAGGAAGTTATGCTTTTATGAGTCCCTCGTGCGGCGGAAGAAATCTCAGAATTTTCTTCTTTTCTTCTGGTAAAACTAATGATTGTTCTGCATGCTTCGTTTTCTGTTTTTTTTTCTTCCTGGACGTCTGAATTGCAAAGTTTCTCGTTTCTCCATGCAGGCAAATACGCGATGAGGGACTTGGTGCAGAAGCTTCCTTCAGGAAACCCACAGCAGGATCAAGGAACTTCAGACGACACCATTGCGGCAGTTCTTGCTACGCTAAACGAGGTTATCAAGAAGAACGCCGACTTTGCAAGGTGCTGATATAAACACTGCAATAAACTTTCTTATTGGTTTTGTATGTGCAATGAAGCAGAGTAGTAGATTGCAATTTTAAAAAGAATGAAATTATCTCGGAAATCGATCGATCCCAAAATTCCGATTTTGTTTTTAGTTCTTTGTGAATGAACTAAGAACTATTTCTTGCTGAAGGTGACGATGAGGCGAATTTTTTTACGTCACTCAACTTTTACTTTGAGGCAGTTAAAAATATTAGATTCTTGTTGCGATCCGTGCCAAGAATATCTTACGCAGTGAAATCTTCTTACAAAAATACAATTGCAGCAAAATTTTCAGTATAACAATTTTTTTCTCAAGTCCCGGCAGAATGCCCATAGCATGCATGCTAAAGCCATGTTGTCATAATAAAACTTCCAAATTCCAGTATGACAGAATTTTTTGAGGAATGTTGAATATATTCTCCAGGAAACTATTTTCTGGCTAATGTAGGCACAATTTGAAAATTTCAATCCTAAATGTGACTGATCGGTTCTCCTGTCATGGATGGAAGCTGTAATCTACGACAAACCATGTTTCCGAGTGGTTCCCCTCATCATCGCAGAATGAAGAGATTGGCGTAACTGATGGAATTCATGATTGAAGCTAATTATTTTTTAGAAGATTAAGCAGTTGAAAAAAAGATTTTAGAATTCCAGAGAAGCAAGATCGAATTGGTTATAGGCAGGCCTGATGTGACAATTGTCTCGTCATTATTTTGAAAATCTAGCGGGCAAATTATTCAGTATAACACATTTTTTCTCAAGTCCCCAAAAGTTTGTTGTAACGAAATTTTTCGGTACAGTACTCGTAAAATTTGTTCTCATCCACGTTCCCCCTGTGTATCTTCTGCTGATGAAGTGGATCTGACACTTGCTCTTTCAAATGTAGATCGCTCTACGAGTGCGGTGGAGTGGACCGGCTGGCAAATATCACGCGACAGCGACAGAAGTACAACGCGAGAGTAATAAAATTCGCCAGCCAAGTGCTGTACACGATGTGGCAACATCAAGAGCTACGCGAAGTGTACAAGAGTGGGAAATGGAAGGAGTCGGACTTCGTTACTCGCACTATCGCCGCCCAAAAGGTACGACTTTCGAGGCGGGAAATGCTTTTTTTTTGCGGTCATGAAGAGGACTTCGTTTGCTGTATTTTTGAGAATTAGTTCGTACGCATTTGTTAACGTTTGAAAAGTTCGTTATTCATATCACAGGTAGACTTTACAGCGAAATTTAAGGAAACAGGGAAAAAATCGGATAGAGTACCCCTAGAACATGGGAGAGAGGACCCCATGAAACCAGAAAGAGATTCGCTATTCAAATATCGTTTTAGAGAGTCCACCTGTATATATTTTTTTCTCTGCCCATTAAAATGATAAATTGCTTCATTATGCGCAGATGTAATTAGCAGTCGAATTTGCACCCAATTTTCAATATGGGCCATCGAAAAATCTTTATGCGTAAAAAATACTGCTTCTGGGTGCGTGAGCATTCGAAAATTTATGAGATTTTAAAAATAATTTTTACAAACGTATGAGGAAATTCTGGGAAAGTTATTCATTGCATCTTTCCTGTTTTTAATTCTGTACTGTAGTTCTTCGTGCTTTTCCGGGCATATTCTCAACCAATGTCAATGCACTTCTGCCTGCTTTGTACTGAAAAATCGTGGCATAACATTATGATTTTTTCATTGCACAGAAAGGTTTCAGGAACTTGTACCGATCTTTGCTTCCTTTAGTCATCGTGAACCGTAGAATTCCTTGGCTGAAGCATTCGGACGTAAATGAGAAATTTTTGAAAATCGTTCTGAATGGTTTGAGTCAACCGTTAATGACAGCTGATCGTGCGATGGAATGAGTGGAAACATTCGCATCGACAGATTTTATTCATTCACGCGTCAATCATAATGTGGCGGTGACAGCAGCATGTCGAACCTAGTCATAGTCTAAAAACAAGTTGAAAGTGCTGTATAGGAACTTCGCGTGAGTGTTCTAGCTGTTTCACGTCGAAACCCATTCGCCGCACTGTCGTGTTCAATTTTTCAAATTGACGGCTTATCGTCTCCTCAATTTTTCATGGAAACAAAGCGCTGATGTGTTTTTTTTCAATTGTCGCAGGCGGCTGCATCTACGAGACCCGGATCGCCAAATTCCGTGGCCGCTGGGGGCGCTGTTGGAGCGAATTCCACTCTCAATCGACCCATGGCGAGTCAAGGCGGCACAAGATACGAAGATCGCACAATTCAGCGCCAGCCGCAGGTCAACAGCTCGGGTTACTCAGTAAGTTTCAGTGCAGAATGCGCGGTAGAGTAAAAAATTCTGCACATATCAGATGCTGTATATCCAATTCTGTCGGTCTGGATCTCCGTGGTTACTCGCATGTAAGACATCATTCAGGATAAAACGCACATTAATTCTCTCCTCGGAAAAGTGATATCCTTCAACTTGCGATTATGAAATCCACTTTATATAAAGTTAATTCTCTCAGTGTTGGAGATATCAGGGTTTTACTCATTCCCTCGGACACTTTAAACCTGAATCAGAATTCGAAATTTTGCTTTCTTGACCTGAAAAATTTACAGTACTGTATTGGGTTTTTGTTCGTTTGAAGTAGGTACGCTTTTATTCTGTATGAAGTACAGTATTGTATTGGCGAAGAATAATCTGCACTTGACCGACTAATTTAAGACGTCATCAACTCAAGTTTTTTGGCCGAATTTTTGCGAAAAGTTGGATTTTGTATACTGTATAAAAAATACGATGCGCGATCACGAAATGAAAAAGAAATTTGCTGGCGGGTCAAAGCCGATATTTTACCCTTTTTTTTACAATGCGTCAGAATGTAACATATATGATGGACCGTATAAATGCATAGACTCTTTGACGATGTCTTCTGGTTTATATACAATGCATTGTAAGGAAAAACTGAAAAAAAGAAGGCTCATTTACTTTTTCCTTCGTACGTTGAGGAATCGATCTCCGGAAAGCTCCTTAGATGTTGCTTCTAGCTCAAGCTTAGTTCTGGAAAAATGTTGGATAAGTTGAAAAAGTAATTTATGGGTTCGCATTTTTGGTTCACCGCTCAAATTAGCATTTTGCATGTGAATTTGGTACTTTTTTTTTCATAATTGAGAGTTTTGGGTACAGTATTCAGAGGTGTATGTACAATTCCATTTGCGAACATCGCCGCTTTTCCCTTCGAAGTTGATTAATGTCGACTCATGCGAAAGGTTTTATCATCGACTGCGGAAATCCGTTTCGTTGTCGGTCGATCATTTCGAATTCCTCTGGCATGACATCATATTTTCGTGTTCGTTGCGTAGATGGAGCTGAGGGACATGAGTTACCCGGACGGAGCTCAAATGCTCATCCATCCGCACGCTGGACGTGCATTTCCGTCTGGTGCTTCGCCTGGCATGGTACTTGCTTGATTTCGTTTCTCCTTATTTTCCGTCATCTGCTTTATTTTTTCTTCTCGTCCTCATTTTGTTCTTATTGATTCATTTATTCTTTGGATTCGTTGTCGGTGTCGTTACGTACTGTACTGTCTTGCATTTATCGTCGAACTGTTTGGTTCGTTAGCCTTTGAAGGATGTATTGATGAAGTTGGACGTGTAGCGTTTCCGCATTACTTAGTGAGCTAGGCTGGGTAAATTGTATGAACGCACACGAACGTCTGTGGATTCTGAGAGTAAGACTAGTGCCGTTTTCTCGGTTGATGTGTTGTAATTATCGCTTATTTGTCGTCATCAGTGTAGCTCAGAGGTAATGGACGTTTCTCGAGATTCCCGCGAGTCAACGAATTCTCATGACTTGCTGATAAAATCTGGTGGTTAATTTTGGCAATTTCTTACAAAAATTAAGAATGAATTTCATTTTCTCACGAACACATCAATATGAAATAACCTGTAGGATAACATATTTTGACGCGCATCTAATTTTAATCTCTACGAAGGATCAGAAGGAATTAAAAAAAAATGCTTTTGCTTCAAATTTTCAGTGATGATCCGGGCTTGCATTTTCCCTGAAACTTCGCTGAAACTGCTCCAGAGGTTTCGTAGGGTTCTAATTCCACTGCCGAATTCACATCCACCATATTTTAGAAATTGTTATTGGGAGGATTATCATGTATCTTCGTTCACGACTGTCTAATGGTTCCTATGAACTGTTCTGATGTGTTAGTTTTTAAAACTTTGCTTTTTGTGTTGAAAAAGAGTTTTCGGTACTGGCAAACCGCCTAAGAGGTGTCTTGGGAATAAGGACTCTTTTTCTTTCGTGCAGGAAATTTGTTTGGCGCATTAGAAGCAAATTCGAGAAATTCAACTTTGCCTATAGCTTTTGATTTAATTTCGTTTGGCAAAGGACGATTTACAACTTGCATTTATTGGTTTTTAGGATTACAGTATTTTTAGTTGCGAGTATTGCGATGTACAGTATTATAACGCTAATTAATGTACTTTAGTTAGTTCAGTTTCAAATTGCATTTTTAGCGATGCAGTACTTCGACGATCTACTTTCTTCTTCAATCGTGAGATTTAAATGGAAAAGAATGAGAAGCTTCCCTTCGAATTCTGCCCCTTACAGTTTTAGCTCGGGCCTGTACTATCGAAGTCGCGGTATGAGTTTTGTACATGTGCGAGAGTCTTCTCACAATTATGTGACCGCATATGTTAACCATCGTTCGACTTATTTGTAATGTTCCTCATCAGTTTTGAGTCCACCAAAACCATTTTAAGCTCTCAGGTTAATCAGGACCAAAAGCCTTTCTGAAAGAAAAAATAAAATATTCAAGTGAGCGCCCATTCGATCAGCGTTTCTGCGCTTTCATTTATTATTTAATTTTCATTTCTTGCTTTGGGCGCGAGTCGAATGAAACAGAAATTGCTTACAAAATAGCTAGGGTGCTTTTTCACAAAATCTGTGCCATGACTACGTTTATGTAAGGAAAATTGAGCTAATTTTTTAAACCTAGTTCGTGTAACCTTCGTTTTTAGCATGGTCTGTCGAAGAACGCAGAAGGCAAAAAGTAGCATTTTTTACGCTCGTAGATGTCACTAGCGCATGAGGTCCAGGCGGGTTCTCGGAGGGAAACCAGAGCTTCCATTTTGAAATTCCGAGCATGAAAATTTGAGGTTTCACGATAATATTGGAAAAATCCCTGGATGAAGAAGACCGATGATGTAATTGTACAATATGTGATCCGTTGTGTTTAATCAATCACGGATAGCTCTCAGATTCTGAGCCGCAATTGCAGAAGAAGTGCACAGGCACTATTTCCTTCGAAAACATTTTCATACGTTTGGTGCATCCGTAAACACATTACTGTAGTTTTGTCTGATTTAAAAACGTCTCCATTTTTACTTGGCAGAATTTGTGAGAAGATCCTCGTGCATCCGATGAACAGAGTCGCAGGTCAAATCGATGATGGAAACATATACTGTATTTATTTTTTCTCCTCACAGGCAAAACCCGGCGAGCCGTTGTACGCTCAAGTGAACCGAGAAAAGAAGAAGAATCGTCAGTTCGACGCGAGTGGCGCTCCGCCAGGCAGCTACATCGCGGGTCCTGGTGGGCACCAGCTTGCCCCGCACCCCTACGACGGCTCCGGCCCGGGCCCCGGGGACAGCATTCTAATGGACGGTCGTGGAGCTCCTCAGGAACCTGCGGGCGATTCCTGGGTCTGAGAAGAAATAGAAGCAAACTTTCAAAGAAAACAAAAGAAACAAAAAAAGAGAAAAAGAGAATCTTTCAAAGAGTTATGCGAACAAAATCCTCTGTCTTTTTTTCCCCCTTGGAGATTAATTATGACGTGGTGAGAGAAGAAGATGGTGGAGCGGTCAAGAAATCTTTTGGTTAATTTTCTGTTTTTTTGTCAATCTATAAATCATGGTTTTTTAAATATTAAGTGATTTATGATTCCTATAGAAGCGGGACTTCATATAGCTTGTCAATTTTGCCACTTCGAACATATGGCAGTGCTTTGGTACCAAGTTCCACCTGTTGATCGAAGTTAGATTCATGGCAGTGGTTTCCACCATTTTCATTATGTCTAGGCAACCCTCTGTATGGAATTTCTCAACTTCTTTTGGAAATTGAAAGAAATTTAATTCTGCTTCAGTTTCCAGTATTTATTTATTGATTTATTTTTCACTTTTGTACCACTGGATTTTTTCTAAGCCTAACTTTTACCGTGCTGACATCTCTTCTACCTCTGCTGAAGAGGGTGCCTGTGTTTCACTAGTTGGAAAGCTGTTGTCTTAAACCTAAATGGATGAGAACTTCGATTCTGCTGAGAATTTCGTTAAGTTTGGTTCCACGTAAGGCAAAAATTATTGGCAAAAAGGTGGGAGTATTTTCCAAAAGTTTTCTTGGTCTTTTATGAAGCCGATTAATCATAACCTGTTATCTCCTATTTCCTGCTATGATATGGGGGATGAATCTCAAAGTCGAAGAAATAAGGATTTTGGATCTTTTGGACAATTGTGTGCCGGATTTTTTTTTAAATTTTTTGCTGGATTTTGAAGCAAGTCATTCGCGTTTCCCTGAAGTAATTCCAATCGCTGCTCGTTGACTGTCTTTGATTGGTTTGTATTTGAGGAGAGGTTTGCTTGTTACGCATGTGCTCCGGGCTGTGTTGGTGATTTTTTGGCTTGTTTTTTGCTTGTTTGATTTATTATCATTGTAATTTTTGGGTTCCGAGTGATTATTGACCTCTGGTTTTCGGTCTATTTGGGTTCCCAACGCTGCTGATAGGTTGAATTTTGGCTGGAAAGAGTTTTTCGTTCGGATTTGAGGCGGAGGGTCGGGATGTTTTGAAACTTGTGATCTGCATGGTGTTGGGATGCTTGTTGGGAGGGACATTTTGAGGCAAACATTCCGAACATCTCTTCCACCGAGGCTGCTCATTGTTCTTCTTGTCTCAATTTCTAACCTTGGTTCTTTCGCGGAGGGAAAAAAAGAAGCAGGCGAGGTATTGAGCAGCAGGAGAAAGTCTTTCTTTTGATATCCGGCCATTGATTCTAGAGAACATTTGCTCCACTTTTTGAAGCCATAGATGTGATTAGAGAGGATTTTAGGTACATGCCGCTATTCCTGTTCACCCACTCAGCCTCAAAGCTCGATTTCAAGGATGCTCCGCGACCTGTCAGCAATAATGTCTCTTTGGGGATGAGAATTTGCTTGCGTATATTTTAACACGCGTTTTGATTTTACTGTTTCGTGCTCGTGTTTGTTTTGTTATTCACGCGATGCGTGCAGCTGGGAAACGTTCCAGACACGGGCGCCATTGCGGTTCCCGTAATATCATAATCAAGTGTTTGAAGGAAAGCGAAACGAAATATTGCAAATGTGTTCTGGGATTATGGAAAATGCCGGAAGAAAAAGAAAGAAATCGTAGTGTCGGAAATATTTGCGCGATTTGGGGATGGATCAGAAAGGGAACTGTATTGCGGAGCATTTGTGGAAGGAGAAAACCGCTCGGTTTTGCCATTTTCTGTTTGTCACATTGTCATATGGCTTTTTGATTTGTTCAAAAGCCTATTGCGAATGGCGGAAGAGTTTTTCGTGGTTCCAATGCTCGACTGAAGTTTAGTTATCTTTTGTTTCTGTACATTGTTGCATCAGATGCAGGTTTATCTCGCGTATCGGTGATTTTTGTATAATAAAAAGTCCTATGATCTTTTTCTGGAACGAATTTGGTGCGAGTTGGTTTTTTGATTCTTTTTAAATTTATGGTTCTAGTTTACAGGGGAAGAAATGTAAGAACAGGCAAAATATATTTTGGAGAAAGCCCAAAAAGAAAGTTGGTTCCTACAATTCTGGGAATTTTTTGAAACTGCTGACCTCACTAAGATCAATCAGAGAAGTATGCAGAATGAAGATATACAGCAGTCAGACTGACATTCTTGAAGTACATCTGAATGTTGCGCACACTTCCAGTAATTCTGAGTATTTGAATTTTCTTCTTGAGGATTGTTCCACACATACATTGTACCTGCATATTACATTTTGGTATCAAGTATAAACAGTTGTAAGCATTGCACAGGCTGTTGATGAGCTTTGCTCACAGAAATGGAACTTTTTCTGAGGCTGATACACAATTTTTGATGTAATTTTACAAATTATTTGTTGAGTTATGCGGAAAGCCACCCACTAGAAAATGAAAATCTTGCACAATATTCCCCAAATACGTGAACTAAACTAACATGAATTATGGTTCTTTGTCTTCCCAATTGAAAGTTGTTGCATGTACTGTACAGTACTTGTCTTACATATTCACCTCACAACTGCTTCCTATATGGTGTCAGCATTCCAGTAGTTATTATAATACTTGGGTAGCCTTCCTCGGAACTATCACAATTTAAGGTGGCAGCTTCATCGATTTTTGAGATTTGGCTCCACATTGCTTCCTTTTCTACCTTAAATTTTTCGAAATTTTGCAACTTGATTCTCATCATTTTAAAATACGCTTTTCATGGCTTAACAATTTTATGGTGGTTGAGAAGGGTCTGTGGGTCATACAGGTAGGTTCTGACCTGCGCTGGCTGTATGTTGGACTCGGATCTAGATAGTGATTTTTACTAGTGAGATGATTATTGCCCAATGACTGTTGGGCTCCCGGGTGATTTTCCTATACACAGGTCATATTTGTACAGTATGTCGTCATCTATTAACATCATGTGTTCTGATGAACAGTTCTTTGATGAAATAGACTGTGAAAGGATCTTTTTAAGTGATCCAACTGTACAATTACTGGCGATGAGGGAACAATCAATCCGCATGAAATAAAAAGGAAAGTACTGTANATCTTTTTAAGTGATCCAACTGTACAATTACTGGCGATGAGGGAACAATCAATCCGCATGAAATAAAAAGGAAAGTACTGTATGTTAAAATATGAGATCGATATTTTTGACAGCCATCAAGAACTACCAGACTGCTGCGCATTTTGAAGCTGTTTAACAACAGAACTTGGAATCTTGTCAAATTTGGCATCAAGTTCGGCACTGCTGAAATCAAATCCAGGATTCTGCAAAATTAACAAAAGTTGCGGTCAATTGAAGCTGTGAGTTTGATCGTGGATTTCAAACCAACCTCCATCTGAAATTTTTCCAAGTCAAGCTTCTTCTGCATCGCAAAATACACTTCTGGTGTGGCGACATATTTGCCGTCAAGCAAACTTTCCCACACTTTCTCCGAATTGGCGAAGTCCGTTGCTTTCACAAGTACAATCCGTAACAAAACGCCATCTTCAAGGGTCCACACAGTTTCATCACCTCGGACTGTGTCCCTCAGTTTACCCTAGAACATAATACCACAATAAAAGGTTTTTGTCTCTAAGTATGTAATGCGTTTATTGAGTGGAGTTTATGTTCCAAAGGCCTGTGCGTCGTAAAATATGCGCTCCCTCACTGTAGATGGCGCTAGACGAAGCGGGCTCACGGAAAGAGTTAAAACTGAAGTTAGCAGTGATCAGTCACCGTTTGCCACCAACGCCCCCAATCTGTTTCCAAAGCCACAATGCCACTCTTTTCCGCAAAGTCGCCCATCTTTCTCACAGGAAAAAACTACAAGAACAAAATCAAAATGTAGGGATAATCTAAAAAAATAAAATAAAATTCCAATCACACATGCACACACGGAGTTCTTTGTCCGAAACACATCCGAATTTTATTCCTCTAAGGAATTCCAAATTCCCCACTGAGCTGACCAACCGCGAGAAGTGTATCAAAATAATGCGCCAAAAAATTCATCTTGCAGAAACCGCTTCTCAAGCTTGCGTAAGACAAACCGAGGGGCTCCAACTCAAAACCCGGAATGAATACTCGCACCTGCCTGCGAAGTTCCACGCCACGAATCAATGACGAGACTTCCAGAAAAGATAAAACCAAAAAACAAACAAAATTCCAGGGAATACTGACAACTTCCTAAAATTCGGGTAAGAAAGTGAGGTCGAGAACTTAGTGGGCTTCTTCTTCTTTTTTGTTAAGCCGCATTTTTTGAAAACTAGGCAGTTGTAGGGTAAAACTTTTAGGGGGCAAGCGCGAAAGTGTGACCGCAAAAATCCCAAGATTGACTTATTTGCAGAAAATGCCTCAATGGAAGGTTTTCAGTAGGTTCACATTTCGGATATTCAGACAATAGGCAAAAACCAACTTCATCTCAAAAGCAGGAAAAGTTTCAGATAACTTACTTCACCAGCATAAAAAATCATGCCATGCATGACTGAATTTCTCAACAATTCGGTTTACTTTTCCAGGTTCCTTCACGACACTTCATCATTGTTTTCAGAAATTAACCCACAGAAAATGTTAGTCCTGAAATTTGAGACCCATTTCAAACAGAAAAAAAACTCAAAAACTGATGGAAGGTTAAGGAGATGGACATGTCTTGCTCTCTTCATCCATCAATGTATTGTTGCTGAACTTATTATAAAAAGCTTAGCCATGAAAAAATTGCCAACTTTCAATCAAAAATGTTATACTGTACCTCAAAAGCTTTTAATACTTAGAATCCAGTTTGACTTTAAAATATGCCTTCTTGAGATATTTCAAGAAGGCGTAATTTTATTTATTATCTTTATGCCACACAACACGGTGATCATTGACACACAAACCAACATAAAACATGAAAAGTTGAGAAGAAACATATTTTTTCTTATTGGTATTCCCAAAAATTAAGAGAAGTCTGCGCAAGAAGATCTTGAATGACATTTTGGCTGACCAGTACATTTTTGACAAAATAAAATTACAGTACTGTAAATCTTTCCCAAGATTTCTTTCTCGAAGTTTCGTTTCTCTTCCAGCTAATTATTCAGTTTTGTATTAGTGAGCTCTTGCTTGCCAGAAAATGCTGCAAAATTATCCAACCATTTTCCTGTTTCCGAGAAGAGGGTCCTTTTGGGCATCATATCCTTGATATGTAAAAAACCGCATTTCACCACTTCCAAAAAACGTATCCGGATCCATAAGCGACACAGATTCTCCAATGAATCGAACAAAGAAGTAATCGCACCCCACGCATTTCAAGCACAAACATAAGTCAAGCAGTTCATCACAGATCACGTCACCCATCAGCATATCCCACACTGAAGCCATGACACCTCAATTCCGGAACATGGGGAGGGAAAAAAAGAATCGCGTGCATTTCGGCGGGGGTACCAACACGGATGAAAAAGAGGTAGGCTGGTTGTATAGCTTTCCAACTGACAAAAAATGGGATCATCACTCAAGTCGGAAACGAGCAGGTTAACAGCGCTCGCAAAATTTTCCGCGCTGGAAACGAGACCGACTATTTTGTCAACTTTTGGCACTACGTCAAAGTCGAGAATGATGACAAAAGTTTTAAATCCGCTGCAAAAAACACTGCTGATGTGTATCACCTTTCTAAAACAGGTATATAGTCACTGCATACATTTGCCCATTTTCCTCCCCCCCCCCCCCCCCCCCCCCCCCCCCCCCCCCCTCCCCTTTTCCTCCCCCCCCCCCCCCCCCCCCCGCCAGTATATAATCTCTTCCAATAAGAGAGAAAGCTTTTCTCAACACTGGACACCAAAAGATATTTTAGGGATCATGAGGAAGAAAAATTGAAACATTGTCACGACTGAAATTGCTCAACGGAACGCCGAAAAATTGCCACTTATTCATTTTGCTACGCAAAAAAGGCCACTAAATAGACCTACTTCACCATCAAAGTCTGGTTCCAGTACATTGACAAAAATTGAGCGATCTTCCCGAATCAGCAATTGAGAAAAAAAACTGGGATAAATGCGCACAACTACACAGCAGGGTTCCTCAGACAGCGGCTATAGTTTCCATGATTTTCTTGGTGTTCCAAATGCAGGTGGTTCTTTTCCTCCTGAGATTCCGATGACTTTTCGCGTGATGTGCACTGATGAGCATCCTGAAGTCTTGAACACGTTTTTCTTGACAGGAACAAAATCAGTAAAATCTCAGAATCTGCTCAGGAACCACTTGGACATGGAGAAAATTTCCCGGCCAACTTTCATCCCAAAATGTACTGTAATTTGTTCCACTCTTCCGCTTCAGACTCCACTTTCAAGATCCCTGAAAATTGAAAAAAATATTGATAGAATTAAACCATTCCTTGAGGAAAAATCAGCATTCAATAAATGAATACGACTTACATTATTGTTTAGATCATAGGTTAACTTGCCAAAAATATTCCTCCCCGAAATTATTAGCATCACATGTTTGCTCGAACAATTTAGCAGGAACTCATAAGTCAGTCACACAAATTCCATACGTCAACACTGATTTTCATTAAAAATTTGAAAAAATGCACAAAAACTGAATACGGAATAGACTGCAATGAAGATTCTTTTCATTACGTTCTTTGAGGTACAGTACTGTACAACGTAGAGAGCCATACAAAAATAACATCTCAAGAAATATGTACTGTACTTAGAAAATCAAGCATGAAGAAAGTACAAGAAGCAATGGCACATTGAACATTTATTATTCATTAATGGATTTGTGGAGGCATTTTGAAATGAAAGATATTTACATCCCAAGTATTTCATCGCTTGTGGCAAGAAAAAGAACTTCAATAGTGACTATAGGGCTCATCTTGCGCAATTCATAAATATTTTAAGATGCCTCCGCAAACCTGGGGATTATCATCAGAAACAAAAAACGAATTGTTCAAATTACAAAATATTTCCAGTGCTCTTGATTATAATTGCATATGTTACCTACTAACAAGATGCACTGAATGTTTTTAAGGGTACTCATTCAATGCTTTCCTTTTTGTCCTCACAGCGCAAGATATAAGATTTAACGCCTTTTTTTTAAATAACTAATTTCTCTTCAAGGCGAATTTTGAACGCATAACTAAAATTCTCTGGAGGAGTTTTGGCTATTATTTTACTGACACAGAAACGACAACAGTACTCAGAAAAAGCGACAATGCGCTTGGAGAGAAGTCAAAGATTAATTGGGCAAATAAATCATTGCCTTCAATTTCTGCATCCTGTCAATTTGTTTAAGAATCAATTTAAAGCCCAGAATATCACCGATTACAATTCCGCGTAATTCTTTTCTTCCTCCCCCTCCTCGCAACAAAAATGCTCTTTTTCCCTAATTCGAAACGTCCCAATAACTCGTTTTTTTTTGTACTGGTCCCTTGAAAAGTTTGACTCAAATACTATGCATACTGTATATTATAGTTTTAATCCCACTTCTGCGGTTCATATGCATCATCACGCAATTTACAGAACGTGTAACTGCCTCTTTATGCTGTAGTCAGCGTCTCTCACATGTCTGACTCGCTGCGACACTTGCAACGGGACTGGTTGCCAGCACCTAGGCCCTCGCCGTTGAATATCTTGCCCCCAGTCTGGGTCTGCTCGGCAGATAGAGAGCTCTCCAAGCGATGACACGGGTTCCTCGAACCCTCCACAGCGTCGCACCTCGCGTTCGTCATCACCTCGTCCACCAGGGAATCGTCCTCGAGTATCTCCAACGACGTCCGGCACTCGGACTTCCGGCTGAGGAAGATCTTCTGCGCGATTTCCCAGCAGTGCTTGTTCCTCTTCAGCGCGCCCAGAGAGCTTTTGCAGGCCGGGAACAAGGCTGCCAGCGTCCTACATAAATTTATACGGTATATATATATATATATATATTCAGTATATATACATGGACGAACACGGCAATAATAATGAGAGGGATCGTCACGTGCCGTTTCTCATCAATAGAGAAAAAGATGGGACTCGACAGCAGCGACGGATTGGGGTCTCTCGGTATCTTTTCCTCTGTTGTTACTCAATCGCTTCCAGCAGATTTCCAGTCAATATCGACACGTTTCCTCATTTAGGTTTGCTCCTCGCGCACACGGGAGTATGTGGGTATTGTTATAATAATACAAATAAAAAATAGACATACGGACATCAAGCATTACCGACACACGCCAAATCACGTGAAGAGTATATAAAAAACGGAAGCTTTTGTTCCGGGATACATTTTTTTTTTCAGATGAATGGCAACATACAGTTCATTTCGGGGCATCTATAATTATTACTTTGAAATTTTCATTTTAATTCCGCCATATTCATCAACAGACCGATTGATTTTCTGATTATTTTAGGATAAGAAAAATAAGAAAGTGGCGACTGTTGAAGCGGCTGTTGAATATGAAATTTGTACTTCACTTCCGCCATATTCATCAACAGCCTAATTAATTTTTCTCATCTACTTCGGATAAGAAAAATAAGGAAGTGGCGAATGTTGAATATGGCGGAACAAATTTTGCAGTAATGATTACGGATGCCCTAAATTAACTGTATCTTGCCATTCGTTTTTTGAATATTTTTCAACAAAGCGGTGCCTTCACAGTCGACACTTTCTTTTTTTTCTTATCCCAAGTGGATAATAAAAATCAATTTGGCGAGCAGAAAGCACACTTTCCGAAAATACGTCGAACAGGGTTGCATTTATTTCTTGTACCAAGGAATTTTTTTTTCTGAACAATACTGTACTTTTTTCTCAGCTCAATCATACGCCGTTTCAATTTATATCCCGAGAACTTTTCTTGGACCCCTCGTATGAATTTAATTATAATAAAATTGGCTGATGGTTCCTGGACGCAATTTTCGAAGAATTCAATAAATCCATTTCCTTAAGGTCCCAAGTTATTTTTTTTTTAATTCTCAAAACATTTTCAACAGTAAATTTCGTTGAACTTTCCCGAACGTTTTATCCTAAAATAATTGGAATATTCTTAAAATTTTCAATTTTGCGCAGCAGCTTGTTGGACACAAAATTTTGAAGTTGAAGAGATCTACAAATTTTGAGTGAAACATTGAACGAGTCTTTGTTCGATGACAGGTACGCAAACATCTTTGAAGAAGTTATACGCCGGCAGAAGCCACAAAAGTTGAATGACTTCCGCAAAATAGTAGTAATCCAATCCGCACAACATTATTCCGCAAAAACGCACATTAACGAGGAAACCAAAGCCTCGAGGTCTCTTTTTGTGAATAAGAAAAGAGCAATCTGAAAAAAATTCCTGACACATCCTCTGCAGCAAGCAAAATGTCTGAAAGGCACGGAAAGTTTATTATTGAATAACGCGACCAAATTCGATTCGAACGTCTATTACGCGCAATATGCTTCAGCACTCGGATAAAGGAAGGAAAGTTGAACTTAAGGATGCTTTTCGTTTACATATTCGCGTCGCTATTCATTCGAATGTTCTGTGCCCTCTATGGAATCAAGAGTTTAGATAAGAGCGATTTTCAATTTCTGCGAGCAGTACAGAAAGATGTGCAGTACGTACCGCATTATGAATCGTTCAAAACTTGTTTCATTGACTGGAAAAAAATTAAATTTTACATCCTAGTCTCCCAATATATTCCGTACACCCTCCTCAAAACGCTTTTGATCCAAGAATCAAAGCATTTTCTAGATTGCGATTTTTGACTCGGTTCGAAGAAATATTCTTTCAACATGTACTCCACGGGATTTTTCCCGCGACTTGAGAAAATGTTTGTCGTACTGGAAAATTTGTAGCGACGGTTTTCGTTGTTACGAGATTTTACTACACGTACTGCACAATAATTTTCGCGAAGAACGCATATACCCGCGTATTAGGCCCATCGCCCTTTTTTCTCGTTTCAGTCGAGGTGAAAAAATAAAAAATAAAAATTGTGCGCAGGGTACTAAGAGAATTACGGTATTATTATCATTCTGTTGTTGTAGCTGTTGTTGTTGATGCTAACTTACGAGACAACTCGTTGACAGATGCTAACTTACGAGAAGACAGGAAGGGCAAAGTCTTCAATGAACTGAATCTGGAGTCGCGGGATGCACGCCTTTTCCCGGTCCATCATTTCCATCGGCCGGTTGCCCATGGCCTTCTCCAGGTCGCCCTGGCTGAAAAACTCCTTGTAGATGAGCTCTGCAATTCGCTTGGACGACACCCAGTCTTTCGTCTGGTCGGAAAAGTCGCACGCCGTCATAATCAGACACCTGAGCAACTTGTGATGCGTGGGATTCGTCGGCTCGTAGCCCTCCACAGCCATCTGCTTTTGCTGCGGCAGCAACCCCAAGTGGTTCACCAAGTCCGTCGCTGCGTGTTGATGGAAAGAAACAATGTATAGTCGTCGTGATCAATCCATCGTGAACATTTTCGCGAGTCTTCAACTTTACATTTGTCGAGACTTCGTTGTTATTGTAAAAATCACCCTGGCAGCAATCTGCTGTTCACCCAGAAATATCCCTATATTTTTAATGCAGCACAGCTTCTCCTTCAGAATTCTTGAAATCCACACGGCATGAATTCCAAAGGCTGCCTCTAGGCTAGGTCTTCCAAGGTAATACTGTACCGCCATTTTCATTAAGATACACCTATACACAGCCGACACAATCTCATCTCGAAAGGCGGCTGTGAAGGCGGTTGTTGATGAAATTTCGGGATTAATAATCAATTGATGGCGGCAGCCCTTGGAAATTAATGACAAGTCAATTACGGTAAAAGAATTCTGAAGGAGAAGCTCCAAAAAAATCTGCGAGATTGGCGCCTCATCTTTTGAGTAAAGATCAGAAAGCTGCCGCAAAACAAACGAAAAAAATTCAGACGGGGTTGAATTTTGTTTCTTGCGCCAAAAAATGTTTTTTTCAGAACAGCATTTTTTTTCAGCTCAAACCTATGATAATTGAGCTGAAGTTGATGTTATTTCAATTTATATTCCGAAAACATTTGTTAGACCCCTCGCATAGAGAGATTACTTTTTTCATATCGGTTTCTATCATCTTTCTCAAATAAACAAAAAATTAAGACCAATTGGAGGAGCTCTAGTCTAAATTACATGAAGATTCTTTGACACGCGTGAAAAAAAAATCAAGGAACTGATTAAACCTATGCACTTTCATTTAACTTCAATGACAACAACGCAATTACATGAATTCCTGGGTGAAACAAAATATTACGAGTGCTTTTTGTTCTTTTGACATTTACAGTATTTCGACTTGAAGTTAAAGCGCACATTCGAGATGTGTCTGGAGCCAAGGCTTACAGCCGTCACACTTCCAATGGATTTTTGGGTGCTCTTACAGTCTAAGTAGTATCTTTACTAAAACAAACTGGATGACAAATCACACAACGAACGATGTCTCAGATTTCAGAACCATTGCTGAATTAAGAATAAAATGTTTCTCTCTGCAATTTCAGCGTGAGATGCAGAAAATTTTCTTAAAATGCAATTTTTAATCCAGTTGAAGTCAGGGCTGCAATCAAAGAGGATCCTCATCAAATGTAGATACGAAATGCCCTATGGCTTGAGTGAATCAGAACTCCACGCCTGAAAACATAAATTATTCCAGATATGATCTCAACTTTCAGAATTTCTTTGATCGTTGGAATAATAGGATGTGAATACATGAAGAGCACATTGAACATCGTTCAAGTAGGGCTGATTTATTATGCAATTGAGTGAACATTTTTTTTATAAATTCAAAAAGTACCGCGTCATGATTATTTCAGTTAAAGTACTGTATTTAGATCAAGTTTTATAGACACAAATCGTCAGAAACACTTCCTACATTATGACCAAAAATCCAAAAAAAAAACCCAACTTATGCATTGTGAAACACAACACGAACAGAAACTCAGAAAAACCGTTTACCCACAGAGAAAAAGCTAACACCTCAAATGATGGATTTACAAAAACTTCTATACGTGCATAACACATCTCTCGACTGTTGCTGATTTTACTCAAAGTACATAATTGCTGCACAAATAACTGGGTAATTCCTTCATTTTGCTTCCACGAGGTATTTTTGAGGTTTCTACTGTAGCAATATTTAAAAAAAATCCAGCGGACTGAGAGCGGAACAATGATTTCTAGTTGGTATATGTCCTGAAACTTTTCCACTTTGCTTCAAAGGATAAACAACGCAATGGTAAATCAGGCTTCACGTTATGTAACAGTCCAGCATCGGTATAAATAAAAAATAATTCGTTTAGACTGAAGGCACATGATCATCGTAAAATGCATACAGCGTTGGCCGCATCAATAACTCGAATGGAATGAAACATTGTTAACGCTATCAAAATAATTCTTACTCAGTTCGCTACAACCAATCTTCGAGTATGTAGATGAACCCAATTTAAAATTAGCGAAATAATCCTATTCTAGCAGGAATTTTAGGAATCAATGATATAGCAATGATACAAAACAGTATTTCCGTATTTACTCGAGTAACATGTGCCCTCACGTAAGATGTGCACCTCAATTTTTGAGGTAAAATTTTAGAAAAATAAATTGTTCCCACTTAAAACAACAATCCGTTTTCAGACAGAAAAATTAATTTATTCATTTACGAATACATGCTGAAATTTGAACTGATGAATGTGAATTACATTTCGCTGCATTTATTCGAGCTTCACATTTTAATCTGCCAGTTCGAATTGAGAATAAAGTAAAAATGGGACATCGTTCTAGTCTCAAAAAAAAATTTCTTTAAAATTTATTCGACCTGTTTCAAGTATGACGAGCAGCAAAAATGTAAAATGTTGAAAAAAAAAAATTGGCTACTCAGCTATGACGCGCAGCACACTTTCTGAGCTTAACATTTTTCAATGAAAAAATGTAGGTAAGGTCAAGAGTGCCAAATTCTTGCGTTACAGCATTGCTAACAGTATTCGTGAAAGATTTAAGCGTGTTGACTTGCGTAACACTCACCCAAAATGAGTTCCCTCAGGAGATTGATGCACTCTTCATACTCGTTCGGTGGAAGGTTTTCGAGTACATTGCATTCGCTGGTATTTAGAATGCACATGGTCTGAGCAAAATGGTGTCGCTCCAGCACAGAGCCCTCGGACGAGTACAAGGACGCCAGAACCGACTGCGACGCGATCTGAAACGAATTGGTCGTCCCTCTGTGGTCCAAATCGTGGCACAACGTTGCTATCATCAATGACAAGCACTCCAGTTCGCTGTGGAATCGAAAAAAAAGAAGCGTAACGACTAACGAGACAGTCTCATACCCCAATCGAATAGTCGAAAAACCATTTTTAGGTCAACTGACTGACCTTTGATATTTTTACCGCATTCGGAAATACACACACCCACACACACACGAGTATTGAACGCATCGAATATTTAAAATTTCAATTTAAAACTTTCAGAATTGAACAACATGACAGTTTTTCTTTTTAATTCTGCGAGTCGTCAAAACAAATTTTATTTATGACGAATCGAAACCTAGTTAATTATGTTCCACAGCTAAATTTTGACGGGTAAAAATTGTTTAGATCAAGATAGAATACACCAGAAGTCATTTGAAAAAAAAAATCGGATGCTTATCATTCGAAAAAACGGGTTTGAAAATTTTGCGTGCGAGGTTTTCTTTAATTTTACACGAGGTTCCGTGTTTCCGAGAAAATTATGCACAAATGCTAATACGATTCTCGCTTGTTTGCTTATTAACAGCTACACAAAAATCTGGTGAATTTTAAAATATTCAAAACTGATACACGTGTTATCAAGAGCTTACCTCAAAATTCCACCTTCGACGAGCCGCAAATTCTTGATCAATAGATAGCAATAGTGTGCCACTGAAAATGCGTGCTTCCAATTGTGATACGGCGGGTCACGATATCCTTTCTTCACCATCAAAATAAACCTTGAAAAACGAAGGAAATTAAAACGTCAGAGCTATCCTAAATATGAAACAGAAGTGTTTCAACCCTTGTTCTATTGCAATATTCAATTTGAAATAGTAGTCATTCCATCAAAAGCTCGGCGTGAAAGCAAAAGAAAATTAGCGTTGCAAACGATCATTTCGCGATTTCTTATGAACAAAATGTTCTCCAAAGGGACGTCCAAAAGAAAAAGCCAAAAAAACCGATGATTGAGACGGAAACGAGAAAAACTGCTAAGGACTGCGAATTTAATTTTAAGAAAACAAAGAAATCACATGAATATCTGGAAACGAACATGCGACGTAGTTTCAAGAGCACAAAATGCCTCGACACCTCAATTCCTGACACGAATGTGTGATACTTGACACCGATTTCGCAAGCCCTAAATTTCGACGCAATATGGTTCACTCAAAAAATAAAAAATAAACACACACCACTGAAATAGTGTTCCTTGTTTAGGTCCACAATTTCACAAACATTTGACGCATTCAATCAAATATAACTGATTTTATAGTACAACTTGATTTTTTCGTTTTAAATGAGTTGATGCAAAAATTACTTGAATGGATATTCATACATGAACAACTCCAAAATTAAAATTTTGTACGCAGATTTTTGGCACCAGAAATTCTAGCACGCACAATTTTGAAAATGAGACCCAGAAAAAAAAATTCGGATATATACGACGGAGACGGGGAAAAATGGACCTATTTTTGGGCTGCCGTATTTTCTGAATGAAAAAAAAAAAAAGTATCGCAACGAAGAAAATATAAACACAACAAACAATCAAAGAAAATGCTATTATTTTTTCAAAAATTAGGTCAAATTTTATACATTTTCATGACCAGTAGATGCTTTCTTATAAATTATTCCAAGCTTAAGATTAGTTCAAATATCACCAGCGCACAGACTTCCGGTCCACACCAATTTTTTCTTTTTCTTTCAAGTTCTCCCTTCATTTGGGAACATTGCCGTTCATTCAGCTTGAATCGCCAAATGCCCAATAAATTATTCATCTAATTATTTTCAAACAGGAAATGAACGCAGGAGTTCAAGGTCACCCGTAAGAATTTTCTGCCTCGAGAGAGAAAATTCCGCGAATAACCTGGCAAGTGCCTTCAGGTACCATTAGAGGTACTTGCAAGCACTCATACCACCGATTGAAAAGTAATACTTAAACCAGAGCAAAGGTTCTAAAACTGTGTTCCACAGAAGCCTAGTATCTTTTCCAGCACTTTCGAGGGGTCCCACAGCACGAAAGGGAAATTGATAAGAGAAAATTTGAATGATATCAATACGTGTACCGGACAAGAAACAAATACACTGCAGAAAGAAAGAAAAAACACAGTTGAACTTCGGCAAGTCGAAAACATTTTTAAATCGGAGTTTTAGGTTACTCGCTAAGTCGCTATACAATACACGTCCATTCATCCAATGCACCTTTCCGATTTTACACTTTTCTGGGTGAAACCTTCCTCATTAAAATTTTGAATACTTTTTATCATTAAATCGGGACCCAATGTTGGAACCCAGGTTACAACGAAAAAAACAACAAGAAATTACTTAATTTACGCTCTTCACAAGGGAAGAGGCCTTTTCCTGAAGATCAGTTCTAATAATTAGGCCATGAAACAATTTAAAGTGATTAAGATAAATAAATACTGTACCAAAATGAAGCCAGATTCCTCAACTCGAAAACTCGGCAAGTTAAATATTCTTCGGAGTACAGTATCTTAAAATCTTGATTATCGAGCGGTTCAACTGAACAACGGCACGTAAAAAAATGCAAAAAAGAGAGGTAAATTCCACTAGCGAACACCATCAACTTTTAAAACACAGGCACAACTTCAGGAGCTCCGTTATTTCTTTTCTTGTAAAAAAAGGAGAAAATACTGCTCAGTACGTCGAGAACTTCAGACAATGCGAATTTTAAAAAATAAATACAGCGGGACCTCGACATACGCAAGATTCCGCCTAGGGGCACTACTTGAAAAATATGCCCGAAATCCGGACAATGTCTCAATATACGGACACTTCACAACACTTCCAGTGTTCCAGAGCATTGTTTTTTGCTATTTGATATTTCTTGAACGAATTGAACTATGCATATTCACAAAAATTGGAAAGAAATTGCTTTGTAAAATTACTCGCAATTCATATTTAAAACAAGGCCAATTTATTTGCTCCTTTTTTCAGAGATTTCCATCATGTGTGCACAGTATAGCTAGACTTGTTCTAATTTTTGGTTCTTGGGCTTCTTTTGATGCCAAAAGATCAGATTCTGACCAATTTTGTAGATGCCAAAATTTCAGTGTACAGTACAGAGATACACTATTCAATACTCCAAATGTTCTTATCGAGTTGAAAATGTATTCACTAATTCAGATTCAAGTGGCAAACAATTTTTTTCAGGGAATTTTGAAGAATATTTCTTCCACAAAACACCAATTAAAAATTATATAAATGTAATTCTATGGGAAAACAAGACTCGACTTAGGGACATTTCGACTTGGGGACACACTTGATGCACAAATTACGTCCGCAACTCGGGGTCTCACTGTATAGTGTAAACCTATATTTGTAACATTTGGAAAAAAAAGTGCATACCCATCTATGACGTGCGCCCCCTTGCAACTTTCCTCTCAAATTCGAGAAAAAAAAAAGCGAGCGGTAATTGAGTACATAACGGGTATGTGGAGTTGCAACAGAGGTTGAAGACTGACCTGACGAGTATTTCCGGCCGCATCCGGGCTCGCTCAAGCATGTTGAGATCGGCAAACATGGCAAGCACTGCGCGGCTCGTGTCCACTTCCGGCAGCGTCCGCGGCATAAACGTGAAGTCCCGGAAGCTCGGGTTGATCTCCTCCGGCGTCGGGATCCGCTGACTCGCCAGCTTCGTCACATCCTCCCCACACACCTGTCGCACATCGACACCGCCATCAAAACCCAGCATTTCCGCTCCACTCGCCGAAATAATTTCCTCTTTCCCGAAGAGCCGACAAGAGGGTCACTTTAAATCCATCGAAAGTTGCAACTAAGCAACACTTGCAAGGTGAAGAACAGTACTATAATTTATTTTATTGTTAAATTGAGGGGGAAATAAGTTCGGTTCATGTCGACATCAAGTGAAAACCAGTTGCAGTGCAGGGCATTTTCTTCAACAGCTCGATGAAGGCAGGCATATAGGAAGCAAATTCTTTGTATGCAGTTCCGAATTTTACCGTATGTATTTTCTCAAATTTCTAATTCGACGGACTCATGATTCGCAGATCTATTTTTGTGCCTCAACAATGTAAAAAAAAATTGCCTGCAAATGTAAGACGGACTTTCACCGAACTGTATTCTATTTCTTGAAAATCAAATATTTCAAATGATTTCAGAGTCACATAATAATTCAAGAATGAGTACGAACACTTTCAACTTAGATGGGAATGTGAACTGCAGGGCCCTTGAACTAGAAATGGTTGCAGAAATTTGTTCAAAGGAATATTTGACTTGATTCTGAGTGAAAAAATTATGTTAGTGACGAGAAATTATGCACTTCATCTGCAAATCTATGACACTGTCAAAAAAAACGTTTTTTTATTTTTCTAAAAAAAAAAATGGACGTGATTTCCTTTCGAGAGCACCTGCGAGTGTCAACTTACATTCACCGAATGGTGTACCTAGGTGAAAATTTCGAGCCACAACTGAGAAGAAAGTAATGTTGTCGAGTGCGAACTATTTACACCGCAGAAAATTTTAATGCAAAACAGGATGACGGTAGGTCTGGAAAACCGAATGACAACGTTAGTTTTGTCAGTTGGTTGTGACAATGATTGAGCACGAAACTTTTTCTCCGGTGTTCCGTGAATCACGAATTATGGCGCGTTAAAGAAGTACAATACAATAGAACAAAATTCACACAGACGCGCGCGCCAAAAAAAAAGTTATACCTGTACATATAATTTACGAGCATATTTTAAGCTGAGTACGAGACATGATTAACGATCAGCGATTTTTGACAATTTTAAAACAATTTCTAAGATTCCAAAAGTCTGAAACAGAATTATACAGAACAATCCCTGAACATGACGTCTTAACAAAGTACGCACGGTACAGTACTGTATTGTAAATGTTGCTTCTTATCTACTTCGTGTCAGCAAAGCGGGTTGAATCCTGACGCATAAGTAATTACTGTACCTTAGTGTAGCACTTCATGCTTCAAGCATTTTTCGAGTAAAAAAAAAAAAAAAAATTGGTGCCACATTTTTCGAAATTAGCGATAAACTTGATAACGCTTTTTGTTGTTATTGAAAATATGCGCATAACCGAGCCTCATCCTGCCATGCATTCACATTTTCTGCTCGGGAACTGTTTCAAACAGTGGCAAAATAAACAATACTTCTGGATACAGTTTTCTGATAAAACTATCCATATGATGTGAGGACAGGAAAACAGCCTCACAAGAACCTATCACAGCGAATGATTCAAAAGAATTGCCTTTAGCCTTCGGGCATACCCGTAGTACGGTTACCTACCATCAAGGTACGTAAATGAAAAAAAAGGGTCTCACTGGACTTTGATCTCCGCAGAAATCTACAACTTGCACGCATTATAAGATTAAACCGTACATGACAGCACGAAAAGCAATCACACCGATCAAGGCCAACCTCTTTGCTTCGTACTCCAGAAGACTGCATGCGCGTGGATATAA